GGCCGCGGGCGCAGCGCCGCCCCTTAAATACCCCGCGTCACGTGACGGGCACCGCCCCCCGCCAACGCCCGCGCCGCGGCGCCTGACGGGAAAGGGAGTCCCGGCCCCATTCCCCGCAACCTTGCGGCGGCGCGGGGCACGATGGGAGGGGGAGGCGCCGCGGGGCGCGCCGGGAATTGTAGTGAGGAAGGGGGCGAAAGGCATGGCGGGAAATGTAGTGCGGGGAGGGGGCTGCCCAAGGGGGCGCGGGGGGAGAAGGTGCAAAAAGCCCGAGTCTCCCCCCACCCCCATGATCTCTGCCACCATAGGGCAGGGGCACCGAGCAGGAGGTTGCACAGGGGGCTTTAGGAGGGGCCTGGGGTGCGGGAGCATCATACCAAGGTGGGACCCATCCCGGCTGCAGAAAATGGCAGAGAGAAGAACAGGGGGAAAGGCCAGGCAGGAGGAAGGGCCCGGGCCTGGCTCTGCTGGGGATCAAGGGAAACGGGGCTGGAAGGGGGGAGCCAGGAGCTGCCTGGCGGAGCCGTCCAGACAGGAGCTGGGAATGGCGGGAATGGGGCCAGCGGCGCTGCCGCTCATCCCGAATCCACAGAGCAGCCGCGGAGCCTCGTCGGGCTCAGGGAGGCCAGGCCGAGCCTCCACTTCCAGGCGGGATCCTGGGGCACTCGGGCCTCTTCCCACCGGAGACTCTCACCTCGGAGAGCTCGGAGCGCGGCTGCTCATTTGCCATGGGCTCCGTGGAGCCACCGCGGCACAGCCCCACGGCCCCGGGAGCAGCCAAGGAATTAACCAACACGCAGCTCGAGGCCCKGGGCTGGGAAGGCCGCTCCAGCAAAACGACAACCCATTAAAAAGCCTCCCCGGCCAGCGCTCCAAGTGGCTTCTTGCTGGCAAGTAGCCGGGGTACGGGAAGGAGCGGCCCCATTGCCRCCTCATCCTGCCGGGAGCTCTCTGAGCTGGAGCTCTTGGCCAGTGTTTTCCCATGGGATGCATTAAAAGACTCCACACATAGTCGGAAACATGGATAGAAAAGGTTTACCAAGCCCGCACCGCTCTCGCACGCGTCTCATGGCACCTCGCGCATGCAGCAGGGAGAAGGGAACCAAAGGAAAGTCTGGATGCGGACACAGAGCAGCTGAAGCGAAACACGAGAGATGAGTTCCTCTGCAGCTCCCCCGAAACGCTGCAACGGGCCCGTTGGCACCACTGGCACAGTGAGCTACCGGCCACGGGCAGGACTGGCCTTCCACCAGTGCCCCTTCATTTGTGGGGATTTTCATTTGCATCTTCAAGGAAAAGACATCATTTTTTTAGGAGACGGASAGGGATGTCAGGAATGGGTTATTTTATGGCTTATAATTACAGGAAAGCAGGCAGGATTTTAGCAGTGGGGATGTGACTGTCGGGGTGTCGCATACGCTGGAGCCTCGCTCACCCCGGGGAGACCTCCCTGACCTGGGCTGGGACCTAAGTCTTCTGCCCTGTACCGGCTCTTGCTGCAGCCTTATTTCAAATAAGGCTCCTGGTTTGCAGTGTATTTTTCCTTCCTTTGCCCACAACATTCTCAGGGAACGCGGGCGTTATCCGGAGCACCTTGTGCTCTACCGTGCTCTTATAGACAGAGGGGGCCGGGTCGGTAGCCGCTCCACCACCGTCCTGGCCCCCTGCGCGTCAGCACCTGCGTCACCGTCACGTGCAGSAGTCCGGCCCAAGCCTTCTGATTTGTCTCACTCTTCCTCAGCACACAGAGGGCTCGAGAAGTGCTGGYCAGGGGGATGCCAGGGCAGAATGCAAGTCCGCATGCAGCTACCACTCCCATTTTCATCCAGGACACCTACATCTTCCTTCCTTTCCCTCAAAACCCTTAAAACATGCAGAAAAAAAAATCCCACAGACCACACTAATTAGCTATTTCTTTATCTGATTTCACTTCGCTTCATGTTTTGCTCTGACTGCACGCACCATACCAGCTCAACCTGGATACAGAGTCGCTGAGAACCTCAGCACTGGCAAGGGAAGGTTGGAGCGYGCCCACAGCCGCGCACCAAGTCGCCACCACCTTTGGGGTGGCCAGAGAGGAGAAAACAAAGTCCCCATCTGTGTCCGACAGATGCACTGTAGTACTAAAGGAAAGCTTAAAAAAAGAATTTAAAAATCCCCCCTCCCTGCCCCCAGCCCTGGCCTAGCCCTCCATCAATGCCGTACGCAGCACATTTGAGACCTGCTCAGCTCGGCACGTGCCAGACAGAAAGTGTTTGTCGGGTCGGTTTAATCAATGTTCGCTCACGAGTCTTTGAGGGCGACGGGAGCCGATGCCCCTTGGAAAAGCGGGGCACRTCTGCGGCGGAAAAGCCCTGAYGCTGCTCTCGGGCCTTTCTGCCGAYGGCTCCGTGAGCGCGGCCGGCAAAGCGGAGGCTGCAGCGCTGCAGCCGTTGCCACCGCGGYGGCTCGAGCGCCGTCGCCCGCRAGAGAGGCYGGCGGAGGAACCAGCAGGTCAGGGGCTTTGGAGGAGGTGCCCGGCGACGTGCAGATCTCCGCTCGTGTCCTCGCGCTGTAAGCAACAGGGCTCGGTGCACGCGGTAGCGAGCGCGCTCCGCCCTCCTCCTGTCCCCTCCTATTTCAGGATGATGTGGTAGCTGTCATTGGTTTCAGCTGCAAAAGAAGGAGAGTTCGTGAAACACCCGCAGCTGGAGAGGGAGCCGCCAGCTCCTCTTCCTGGAGAGGACGCGGACTGCATGCTCACGCACCTTTCATGGTGTCCAGAACAAAACATGATTCATCTTGGAAGTTCTGTATCATCTGAAAGAAGTCACGAGAAGCAGCTTGGTCAAAAAAGGTATTTAAGAACAGCCCGAGTGCTTCACAGCCCAAACGAAGGCCTGCTTTCCTCTGTGCGGTGTCGCGCAGTGACGGGCACACGTTTAAAATGCTGAAGGGGCTAGAAGGCTCAGACAGGAGCGCTCAGTGCCCTGGGTGGGAGGAAACGCTCCAGTCGGGAATATTTATTCCTTCCTCCATCTCTGCAGAACTGAACCAACAAGCTGGGAGGCAAGAAGCAGATTCTGGGATGCTGCTCAGGGCAAAGTCACCCAACAACCTCTCTGTTTCTACAGCAAAGCTCGGAGAAATCTAAACATGGAAAGAGGGTGTAGAAACAACCTGGACTAACTCACAGCTAGCACAGTAGCATTCCCAAATCCTAACATCCCTGGCTCTGCAGGCTTCAACAATYACCCCTGACCTTTTGGAAACTGGAGGCGACTTGAGCCCAGTCCTTGCTGACGGGCTGCTAGAGCTGGCTCTGGGACCAGCTCCTCCGGGGCCATGGGMAGTGGGACTCGGGGAGCAAGCAGGCGTGAATCAGCTGAATCCACATGGCTCACGAGGGAGCAGGGAAGCTCCTGGTAGCACCCGGAGGCTGTTACCTCATCGCTGATCAGCACGTGGATCCCCGTGGGGCCTTGCTTGTAAATCTGGCTGATCTGCCGGGAGGAGATGCTGAAGAGCTGGGCCAGCTTCTCGGTCAGCTCGAGCGCTGTCAGCTCCTCCAGGTAAATGGCGTGGTACACTGCGAGACAGAGGGGCACGGCTGCAGCTCCCGCCAGCACCAAGGCTTTGGCTGCCCCGTGCCCCGGGCTACAGAAGCAACAGCCCTGCAGCAGCTTGGCTGTCACTGCTGGCTGGTGGCGCTCGCTGTGTAAAATAGCCCCTGTCCCCAAACCCCTCTATTCTGACTTAGCACCAGTTGAGCAGGACTTTGCACCATCCTGCTGGTTTCCAATCATAGCAGGATGGAAAAGCTGCTCTGGCAGCTCTCCAGACCGCCCCCCAGCACACAGCTCCTGCAGGGAAACGGGAGGAATCTGAGTTGGAAGAGGGCATGGGAAGGACGAGCCGTTTGCTTTCGCGCGCGYCGCTCCAATCACGGGGGCCACAAAGTGGTGTCCGGCTGCTCCGCGAATGTAGGTCACTCGTCTGGGCAAGGCAGGATTCTCWGTAGAGCTCCTGCCCACCGACCCAGCGCGGGCAAAGCGCCAGCAGCRACGTTCTGCAGCCACCCCTCGGCTGACAGGGGAAAAATGAGCAGGGTAGGATGARGGCAACGAAAAACTCGCTGCAGCCTTAGAGCATTCGCACCCGAGGACAGAGCCGCAGCCCTTGCGCTTGCTGCAGGGCCGCCAACTCGCAGGGACGCAGGACAAGCACAGCCAACACGAGGGGGAGCAGCTTGAAAGGAAAAGCCCCAAAGCTGCTGCTGACCCGTGCTGCGGTAGAACAGGGAGCTGTGCAGAGGGGCCCTTCACTGCGTGGTGCCCACGGGCAGCTCGGGCACTGCGGCTCCTCGGAGCCCACCTACCGAAGAACGTGCTGCCGGCCGCGTCGCCGTCCTCGGGCTTCTGCTGCTGCAGCTCGCGCAGCTGCTGCGACTCCTGGCACACGTAGATGGTCAGTCTGGGYCGCACCATCCTAGGGGCAGAGCGGCGGGTGAAGTGGCCGCCCAAGGGGCTCTGCGACACCCCGAGGGCCCGGGCTCGGCCAACGCTCCTCTCTGCCCCACCGAGCTGGGAAGGCAGCGAGTGGACAGCTGGACCAATCCGCTGGACGTGGGGCATTAACGCCCCGGAGCGCATCGCAAACGCGCGGCTCTYGCTGCGTCGCATCAGGAGTCTGTGCCATGGCCTCCCGGGAGCCTCCCCCCGGGACACGGCCCCCGCCACRGGCTCGGCCTCTCCATCCCACTGCAACAGCTCCTTTGAAATGCCCAGCTTGGGAAGATGGTGGGAGTTAAACACCAGGCCCAGCTTTTTTTCAGGGAAAGCTGCAATAGAATATTCCTTCTGCAGGAATGCCAATATAGGGAGACAGGTTTAGAGGCACCCCGTCAGCCAGAAGAAACACAGGGAGCGAGTCCTGGGTTCCCCGATGTCTAGACAGGGACACATACCGTCCTTTCAATGCATTGAAGAGCCTGATGCCATCTGCGGGGCCACAGATCTGGATAACATCTTCCCTAGTCAGCTTCAGTAAATCCGCACCTAGAAATYGAAAATCAAGAGGAGAATGACAGGGCCAGGGCCAGGGTATGGGGCAGGAGGCGGCTGGGACACCCTGTCCTCCTGCACTCACACCCTGCCCAGGCCAGTTCTCCTCACAACAACCTCTCTCCCTCCCCGCAGAGGGACATGTACAAGTTTTTCCAGACCGGTTTCACAAGAAGGTGTTCGGGAACAAGCGCGTGTCCCGCATTATGGGTGGTTTTACAGGTTGCTACCCGGTGCCTCAGTGACCCTGSAGAGTGGAGACAGAATCACTGGGAAGAGGAGGAAACTAGCCGGGAAGCATTTTGTGCTGCGTGGTGCCACGTCCCGCCTGCACCAGGCCCTTTGCAGCCCGGCTCAGAACTGGCGAAAGCGAGGTGAGAAACGAAGAACACAGCTTTCAGGTWGCCAAGTTTTATTGAGTTACAAGAGAATTCTGTGGTGAAACGTTTGTGTTTGCCACAGCTACGTGAAGACGACCTCGCAAGCAAGGGGTGGGAAGAGGAGGGCGCGTCGAAACCTACCTGAGAAGTTTGTGAAAAGCCGGGAGAAAGTGGAGAAGCGGTTCCGGTGCAGCCACTGCTGGGCCTCCTGGGGCGTGCTGGTCGGCAAGAGGTTCTGCGAGGCAGGAAGGGACGGTCAGYGCCTCGCCGGCGACGTGCGAACACGTTTCCATGCCGGGACAAGCGGGGGTCAAAGGGACTGCTCTTAAACACAGCTTAAATCCAGGGCCCGGCGCTAGGGTCACGCATGGAAGAAAGGCTGCAGTCTGGAGAGTTTTGGATTTACGAGATTGCGGAGGGGCAGAGAAAGGGTAGCAAAGCGGAAGAAAGCACCAGCACAGACGGGCACCCGCTCGGCTCTCTGTGAAGCCCCTTGTCCCGGCAAACGCCCCATCCACCCGCCAGCGCTCGGRCCCGTGTCCCCTTCCCAGTCTCTGTGCCACCCTGACCACAAACTCAACGTATGGAGCGGGACTCACATCCACGATCGGCGGCGGCGGCTCAGGCTGATGGTTTGGGGAGCCATTCCTGGAGGAGGGACAGAGATGGAGTCTCGGTTAGTGCCGCGCTGCCCTCGCTGGTCGTTCCCAGCTGGATGCTGTGTCACACGGAGTGGCTCTGGGATCCCCCCAGGCTGCAGGGACCCCCCCCCTCCACAGCAGCTTCCCGCTGTCCAGACTCACCCTTCCCCAATGGAGAAGCTGCTGTGGGAGCTGTTGAAGCCGGGGGACGGYGCGTTGTTCACGTACGTTATCTCCGGCCAGGGAGAGCACTAGAAAGGAAGAGCCAGGAGAGTCACAGGAGGACCCAGAGAAGTCCGTGYGTCTGCTCCGCTTGGGCTGACCACTGGCTGGCGACTGACAACCTGCTATGGGGCAGATCTGCAGAGCAAGGGCAAGGGGACTCATTGCAGATGGTCCCAAACCTCTGGGCCTTTGGAGCTCGTTTAACCTAAGTCACAGAAAAACAGAGGGTGATCCAGGACCCAAAGCACCTCTCTGATCCCAAGCAGTGGCCGAAGTGCCTTGAAGGAGCAAGCGCTCCCCGCAACAAGCGACCCGACACTCGCACAGGGCAGCACAAGGGCTCCCTCCCCAGGACGTTCAGCACCCATCGTGTTTCAACAGACTGACGCTTTCTACCAGCAAAGAGGGGAAACAACAGGGTTTTTTCCTCTGACTCAGCCAGCGGCGGCACTGGCAAAACAAAGTCTGCAGGTGGAGATAAAAATCTTGTATTAGATCATCTGGTACAGCCGAGTGGGGGAAAAAATCAGCGAGTTTCCAGGCACTTGAGCCCATCTAGCAGGAAATGGCTCCTCTGCCTGCAGAAACCTGCCCTGCACTCGCCTCTCGGCTGTAACTAGGCAAGCGTTTTGCAGCACTGCAATTCACAGCAGGCGGTTTCTCGCCTTTTGCAACCAAATGAAGCCAGGTTTGGTTAAAAGATGAAGCCCGATGGCCTCTTTGCTGTGTAAATTTGCTCCCCACCTCAGTGAGTATTGTCGTTTCGTAGGAAGGCTGGTATTTCTCCTTCTCATGAGGCGTTCGCTTCTCCATCTTCTCCCTGTCCGTTTTTTGTTTCCTATCGGCTCCTTTGGGCTGGAAAGGAGATATTTCTGTCAGGACAGTGCTGGACAGCGTGGAAGGGAGGCAGCAGACAGTCAGCATTTGCTGTAATGCAGAGCCCAGACACGATGGCTTCTCTTTTCACCCACCCACTTGTTGCTTTACAGTGGAAAAAGGGAGGGAGCTGGGCTGAGCTGCCCAGAGAACTAGGTAGAGGCAGAGCATCAGTGTGAGCATCCTGATCTACCCCGTGCCCTGAGAAACGGCCCTCGAACCCAGAGTGTCTCAGCAAGGAGATGGAGATGCAGATCAGACACACACACGTGCCCGGGAGGGGAGAGGGAAAGGCCAGAGCCCAAATCCAACAGCCCCCCCAGASACCCTGCAGGGATGGGCGCCGACACAACCTGCTCTCACAACACCGGGACAGGAGGTGACACCAACAGGCAGGATCCCGGCCGAGGGCTCTGGCCTGCAGCAGCCTCTGCGAGTGGCCGGTAGGACGGGGAGGGCTCTGTTCTAGAGCGGGAGCTTTTCAAACTCCATTGGAACCGGTAACTGCAACCGACCACTCGGGCCTGGGCGTGGACAGCCCGGCCGGGCAGCCCTCGGGAGGGTCGAGAGGAAAGAAGAAACCCCCAAAACGCAGCAAATAAACAAAATCCTCCCAATTCATCCCTCAGCACAAAGAGCTGAGGCCTGGTAGAAGTGCGGGGATGGATGCCTTAAAGCCGCGCGGCTGCCCCGGGCGCTCACTCGGCAGCGGCCTCACCCCGCGCTCGGCAGCCGGCCGCTGTGCTGCCGCCGGTGCTCGAGGGCACGTTGAGCCCAACGCCCTGCAGCAGCTGCCCACGACGTGCCCAGGCTGCCGAGGGCTCCACAGGGAGCGGGGATGGCAGCCGGGAGCTCGCACSGTGCCATGAGCAGGGCTGGGAAATGCAGCATGCCCACGGTGGTGCCATGGGGCGGCAGGCGCGGGGACAGTGGGGCTGGCGGCAGCAGCAGCACTGCTGCTGGGTGCCGCAGCCCACCGGGACACCCCCAGGTCCGTGGGCTTCGGGGTTGCTGTGGGACGGCCACCAGTGGAGGCCGCTGGGAGTCAGCGCAGYGGGAACTGAGGAATCCTAAAGCGAGGAGCTGGTCCTGCACCAACACCCTTGGGGGAGTCTCCAAGGCGGCCACGCTCCAGGCTAAACCCAGGAGCTCTCAGCGAGGGGCAGCATAACCCCCTTTCTCCCTGGCATGTTGGTCCTGGCACTTTGGATTTGTGGCCACCACGGTGCCTGGCCTGGATGGACACCAAGGAACCAGAGTGCCAAGGAGAGGGGAACACAAGAGGAGGATGGAGAGACCCGTCTGCCTGGAAGCGAGGCCTAGTCCTGCGCCCGCGCTGTTCCCCAAGGCTTCCRAGGGAGCCGGGACCGGCTCCTGGAGCGCCACGCACAGCGGGCAGGGCTGCATGTCCGCGCAGCAGCGTGGGGTACCTTGAAGACCTTGATCTGGCAGCTGGCAGAATGCAGGTGCTCCGTGTACTCCCCATTCTCATTCTCCTTGAAGGTGTCGATCTGCACGCGAAAGGGCACCCCCTTCTCTCCTCCGTGCTTCCGCATGGTGAACTCCGTGCTGATGCAGTGAACCTGGCACAAGCCAAAGCATCCCGCTGCTCCCACAGCGTCYTGCCCACACTCACGGGGCTCCTCAGCATCCCGGGCCCCTCGGGATGGCYGGGACAGCCGCTTGGATGGAGCGCCATGAGCAACGGCAGCAGGAAGGAGTTAATGGACACGGCAGCAACGCTGCAGCCACATTCCTGCAACAAGTTCTGCAACCTCCTAGCGCTCCAAGTGACCCCCGGCTGGGAGGGGAGCGAGTTCGGCTGCAGCAAACACTCTGCCAGTTTATTCTAGGKGCAAGGGCCGCATTTTCAAGGGGTGTTTTCGGCAGCTGCGAGATCTGCAGAAGCGGCTAAGCAAGATGGAGACCCCAATCACTAAAACCATTGGGAGTCGTGTGCTGGCAGGAGCTTCAAAAGCAGCGCAGTGCACCTAGGGAAGCCTTACAAAGGGAATAAAATCCTTTGGAAAAAAAAGCTGGCCCAAGTCTTTTCTCAAACACTCAAATAAATCAACTTACAGGTAGTTACCTGCTCTTGTGTACATTTATGCTCAGAAAAAATTAACTTGTCTGTCCTAAGCCCTTGCAAGAACTCCTTCCCCACACCGCTTACCTGGATAAACACTGAYGTCCTCTTTGTAGGATCCCACAGAAACTCCACTGTATTGAGCTGTGTTGGATTTGCTCTAGGATCGATGATCCCCACGGACATTGGGATATCTGTAGGAACAGGCTACGCTTAGTGGCAGGAGGAGATGAAGAAAGATCCACAGGGAGTGCAGAGAAGCCACAGGGAATCTCACTTTCTCTCTCCAACTGCAGGACATCAGTGGCACTTTATCCTTCAATGCCACGAGCCTGGGGATTCCTTGGGGACACGTCACCTGCACCTCTTAGAGCCCGGCCACGATGCTGCCTGCCCCAGGGACTCACCTATGTCGAGTATCCTGTCGCCAGGCCTGTTCCACCTCCAGCCCTCCAGCTGCTGGTGCTCCGTGTACTGCAGGCGCCGGTCGTGGAAAACCACCCGGAATATGCTCTGGAGGGAACGACCCGTCAGCACGYGGAGTTGCTCCCGGGAAACCCGACGGCGTTTCCCTGGGAGCCCCGGGAATGATGCCGCCTCGTGCGTGATGGTCCCAGCGCTCCGCTCACCTTCACCAGCTTCCCATTGATCTCTGGCAACTCCCCGATCTTCCTGTTATCCAACATCCGGATTTCRTACGATTGCCCTGTGGGAAGGAGGACAACGTCACGGCTGGATCTTCGCTGCTGTGACACTAGACATGTTGCTYGGTCTCTTTGCCACGTTTTGGTCATATGAGCAGGGGCCAAGAAAAACGGGTGCTGCTGCAATCCCCCTTTCCAGGGAAAGACATTCCTTCTCCCTTCCAGTGAGCTGTAGTGGTGCTTCCTAGGAATTCCCTTCCAGACTAAGGCATGACTGAGACCAGCACTCGTCCATGCTGTTCTCTAAAGCACTGTGACACAGCGGGCCACAAAGTAACCGACTGCATGACCTGCCTTGGCCCACACAGACTTTTATTACATTAAATCCCACGGGCGATTCACCACAATAAAGCCGAGGGCCCGCAGGAAGATGCAGCTTAAGAGAAGCAAGCCGGGCTTAAACCGCGAGACGGTTCCTATTCGCAAGGGGTCGTTTCCAGAGGCGGAATTTTGTGGTCAAAGCTCGGAGCGTCTCAAGGAAGGCGCTGGGCGCAGGGCAGGCGCCGGGCTCGGCTCACCTTGGTTGAGATACGTGAGCGTCTCATCGTGCAGCTTCACAGCAGGGGAGGTGGCCGCACACAGCACGTACTGGAAGGGCAGAATTTTGTTCTCGTTTTCAGGGGGCAAACTCGATTCTTCCTGCTTGAAGATGGGTAGGGCCAGGACGTCGCTGCAAACAGATTGGTCAGACRTTGGTTTCAGCTCTGGCTACGGGGAGATGCTGCAGCTGACACGGAGCATCCCCCTGCTAGGGAAAGCCCTGCGCCTTCCTGATGGATAAAAGCCCCCACCCTGGCATCTCGCTGCAGGCCGCACAGGAGCTGTAAATCCGATGGATCCATCCGCTCCCAGAGGACCCCAACATCCCTTCCTGCCACAGGGCTTTCCTATCTGAAACGCAGAATCCTGCTCCAAACGCTTCCCGCTCCGTCCAGGGCTCTATCGARTGGAAGGTGCTGCTTTAGCGCCGGGGCGAGGAAGGGAAGTGTGGAATGAACTCCCTGCTCCCACCACGAGTCACTGCCCCCCCAGCAGAGCTTCCGGATGAAGGACGGGTGGGAAATGGAGGCCCCGGGCCAGATAAAACCCTCCCGACCGCAAACYGGGCCGGGCTCCCTGCACGCCCTGCCTGCATCTGGCCAAGGAATTCCAGCCGGAGGAGCCTGGGACTGGCCTGCCAGGAACCCGCGCTCCTGCTCGGATCAAGGAGAGCCACATTTCATTGCTCCTCAGCCCTTGTAAAAGCCCCACCGGCTTCGKGAGCGGAGGCCGAGCTCCAGGAATGCACTCAGGGAGCCCAGTGCTCCCTCCATCCGCAGTGGAAACCTGATGCTGCGAAGGCCGCACCGCCAGTCCCTGCTCTGGGTGACGTGGGATGAACGGGAGCTGAGGGAGCCAGCGGCTCCAGGCAGCCGCTTCTCCCTTACGAGAGCTGCCTGCCCAGAGCCGATGCTCCGGGCCAGCTCCCGGTGCTCAAGCCCCGTCCGACCCTCCTCTCGGGATGCAGGCGACATCCTCGGATGCAGCCGCGCTCGGTTTCAGCAGCTCCACCTTCACCCGGCACCACGGAGCCTTCATCCACAGGTGGAAGAGACACACGGCACTGAGTGCCCGTAGGACATCATCCCTCGCCAAGACACTGGGATACCAGGAGTGTGAACCTGTTGTTATCAGGAATGAGGAGAGCGGCTTCCAGCAGCCCTTTGGATCCCTAACAACACCCAGGAGCTCCCCAGCTCGTGGAGCCACCTCTGCCCACCCGCTGACGTGCAGCAAACATGGGATAAAAGCGGAGAGGGCAGCAGAGCCCCGGGGGCGGCTCCGGAGCGGCTGCTGAGGAACCTCCGGGCCCTGGGGGAACGGATCATTTGGGAGCAGGGCTGTCCTTGCCGCAGGGCTCGTTGCACTGGTGTGGGAGCCCGGCTGCAGCGCAGCTTCACGGCGCTCCGCGGCGTTCCCTGCGTCACAGCCCTGGGCACTTTGGATGCTTGGAGGGGTACAAGGAAGAAGGAGTTAAATCAGATCCTTATACTGGCATTTTTCCCTTCTCTCCCCTTTAGTTGAACATTAAAAGTTTCCCCAAGGGAAAACTGGACTTATCTGGCCCAACAGCCTCCCCCTGGCCGGGTTTTAACCCTCTGCATTCAGGGGATCAAGTATCCACCCTCCTTCCAAAGCCTCCATCCTGGCTCCCATCCGCTCTGATCCCACGGGGAAGCAGCTCCCAACAGGGCCAGTGGCTTCACACAAGCGGCCGCTGGCGCAGGCTGAGCTCCGTGTTAAACACGGGCAAATGCGCGGCCCCGGTGGTGCCACCGGCCCTCGGCAACAGACCGCAAGGAGCCGTGCCTACACCTCCACAYTCCTCTCCCCCTAAATCCCAATCCYGACCATTGCCCTCGGGCACCGGGACGCCCCAGCCACGATGATGACCATGAGGGCAGGGAATGAAGCACATGGGGATGTGAGTGGGGACTGAGCCGCAGGAGCCTCTGGTCTGCAGGGCCCCGGTGGGACGTCCCTGCCCGCACSGAGGGACGCTTCCCACCGCAGCCGGACGAGCAGCTTTCCGGCTACGAGGCCCGGGCACTCGGATCGCTCTGACCCCAGCAMGTTTCCGTGCCATAGGAGCCAGCTAATAGGGTCACTCCTTACATGTTGCAGGGCGCAATAAAAAGTTAAATATTTCCAGGGACAGCCACGTTACAAAAACAGCAGGAGCCCAGGGAGCTCTGCGGGCCCCGGGGAAGAGGCCTGGCCTCTTAAGCAGTATCCCCGGAGGAAAAGCTTGGAAAGGCAAYGGCAGCGCCGCGGCCACTACCCATCACCGGAGCCAAGGCGGCTACCACATCGCTCATCCCGCATCCTGGTATTTTTCCGTGCCGTCCAGTCCGCCCAGCTCAGGATCGTTTGTAGTTTTGCTTGGGGAGAGTCAGGAAGCTGCAAGAAGGGGTCTGAGCAGCTCCCTAAACGGGGTGGGATCCACAGCCGGGCGCCTCCCGGCAGAGCTGAGGAAAAGAGCCTGGAAAAAGGGCTGCGGGCAGCGGATAAAGCCCGACAGTGCTCCGGCCTCAAAAGCACCTGCAGAAACGCCTGAAACTCTTGGGGAGCCCCTGAGCGTCCCTTGAGAAAGCAATGGGATTCACTAACGCGTGCGAGKATGAATCCGGCAGCGCAAAGAGCATCCCTTCCCAAGGGGGAAACGCGGTGTTTCCGTAGGGGGAACACACGGCCCTGGAAAAAGCCACGGGGGRCAAGGAAATAAAAGGCACGAGCGGCCTCGCAAAGGGGGAGGCTGCTGAAATCGAAGCCCCTGGCGGCAAGAGAGGAGGGGGAAGCGTGAGACGGCGGGATGCAAAGGTCAGCCGCCCGTCCCGCCATTCCGGCTCTATTTCTGGGCTGCCTGGCTCCAGAAAACCCTTGGGAAAAACGCCTCGGGTTGCAGGCGGCCACGCGAGTCCCAGGCGGAGCGCGGCCACCGGCACCGGCAGCGCGTAGGATTGGACCCGGCTCCAAGACGCCCCCAGCGCAGGATGCGCCCAAGAGGAGGGAGCCAAAGGAAAGGGAATCACGGCGCTTCCCGATTCTCCTGTGCCAATACAACCAACCCGGGATTCGCCACGGAGAAGCATCAGCAGCACCAAAAGGCCATGGAAAAGGCGCAAYAGGAGCCAAACCTGAGCCTGGAGCTCGCCGCAAAGGCCAGCACGAGAAATGCCCGGGAACCTGCGCGGCTCCCGTTCGAGGGAGACTGCCCCCGTGCCACCAAAAGGGAACGTCCCCCCGGCAGCGCTGGCGGGCTGGTACCTTGGGCCGGGAGCAGCAGCACCGGGAGGCGCCAGCGGCTCCCAGGGCTCCGGTCTCGGGCCAAGGCCACTCGCACGACCCCGGGGACATCCCAGCTCCCGCTGCGGAGTGCGAGGTCCCAGCCCCACGGACTCTGGGTTGGGCATGAGAGAGCCGCCAAGGACACGACAGTGTCTCCGGAGCCGGGGCCGCCTCCACAGGCCGACTGCTCTGTGTCGGTGGCTCTGCAYTGGGCGCTTGGGTCCCTTTGGGTTCGTGGTTTTCTTGTTCCCTTTGGAGTGGGAAGGAGGTGCCGGCAGCTGCTCCCGCGTGAGGGCCATGATTTAGGGCGCTGCTGGGGCGGAAAAACAGAGCGAGCAGGAACGGAGGCTTCTAGAGCAGCCGGGGTGATGGCGATGGTTGCAGGACAGCGGGGCAGAAATGGCACAACCCGGGGGACGCTGCAGGCACCGGGAGCGGCTTTGGGGCTTCCCGTGCCCAGCACCCTGAGCGCCCTGCACACTGAGCCCAGCACCCTGAGCRCGCCCAGCACCCAGCACGGTGCAAGGAAACGCGAGGGCAGCCGGAGCGCCGGCCCTTCCCTTGGCTTCAGCCGGGAGGTCCCGAGGCACGGCTGCCTGGGGCGCTGCTGCCCGCGAGGCCGGTGGCGCCGTCCCCAGCAGCCCCCRTGGGGCTGGGAGCAGCCGAGCACCCTGCTCTGCCCCTAAGCGGCCTCATGGGTGCTGCACAAAACCGGCCTGCGGGGCGGACAGCGTCCCCAGCGCCCGCTGCAAAGCCCTCAGGAGAGCGGAGCCCGCGGAGCCCTGGGGGCTGCGGAGCCCCCGTGGATCCTTCAGCATTCAGAGCCCCCGTGGATCCCTCGGGGATAATGGAGCCCATGCAGATCCCTCAGCACCCACGGAGCCTCCGCGGATCCCTGGGCATCCACAGAGCCCCCCGCGGATCCCTGGGCATCCACAGAGCCCCCCGCGGATCCCTCGGCATCCACAGAGCCCCCCATGGATCCCTGGGCACCCGTGGAGCCCATATGGATCCCTCAGCGCTCGCAGATCCCCGAGCACCCTGGTGACCCGTGCAGCCCCGGGGCGGCGCGGGCGCCCTACCTCATGCTGTAGGCCCCGGCGCCCAGCTCCTGGCCGATGCCCGACAGGCTGGCGTCGAAGTCCTGCACCAGCCCCGACTCGATCACCTCGTCGGCCAGCGGCAGCTTCAGCGCCCAGGCCATGGCGGCCCCGCGGCGTGGGGAGCCCGGCTGTGGCCCCCGCCAAGCGGGGTGCTCCTGATGGGCCCCCAATGGGGCTCAGTGGGCGGTCCCGGGGGGGCAACCCCCACT